AAAGTTCAGAAATAATCTAGGTGGTGTATTACTGTTTTTTCACATTGCTATAAAGAGCTTCCCAATACTGGTTAATTTATAAAAGAAATAGTTTTAGTTGACTCATAGTTCCACACAGCTGAGGAGGCATCATGAAACTTACAATTATGGCAGAGGAGAAGCCGGCACCTTCTTCACAAGGTGGCAGGAGAGAGAGGAGTGAGCAAAAGAGGAATTTCCAAATACTTATAAAACCATCAGATCTTGTTACATATGGGAAACTGCCTCCGTGGTCCAATCACCTCCCACAAGGTCTCTCTCTCAACACCTGAGGATCATAATTCAAGATGAGATTTGGGTGGGAACACAGATCCTAACCATATCAGGTGACAAGGATGGGAAAAAATAATGTGAACACTAAATGTGTATTTGGAAGTGCTACAGCTACCAGTATCTCTTCAGGTGTCTAATATCATTCCTATCTTGTAATTTTAATAGATGTAGAACAATTTAATTAAGTCAAAATGGCTAATGTATTTTGTCAAGTTATGAGAAAAATATTGCCCAGTATCCATTGATTCAATATTTCACTATTATTTTAGAATATATTACATCCATTGTATGTAACCTGTTTTTAAAGAGTTGCTGAACAAATACTTATTTTTCCTATTTCAGGAACGGATTGTCTTGGTGTACCGAGGTTTCCAAATGCCATACCCGAGGGAGAGACGAAGAATTCATATAGGTCGGGTGAGCAGGTGACTTACACTTGTGCAGAGTTTTACCAAATGGATGGACCCAGTACTGTAACGTGTATTAATAGGAGATGGACGGGAAGGCCAACATGCAGAGGTATTTGATGAATTTTTAAAATGTATTTATATAAAGTGTGGTCCCTGCTCAGTGGCGCCTGCCTGTAATCCCAGCACCTTGGGAGACCAAGGTGGGTGGATCACTTCAGGTCAGCAGTTTGAGACCAGCCTGGCCTCCATGGTAAAACCCCATCTCTATGAAAAATATTAAAAAAATGTAGTGGGGCATGGTGGCTTGTGTCTGTATTCCCAGCTACTGGGGAGGCTGAGGCAGGAGAACACTTGAACCAGGGAGATGAAGGTTGAAGTGAGCCAAGATCACATAACTACACTCCAACCAGGGTGACACAGTGACATTCTGCCTAAAAAAAAGAAGATAAAATAAATAAATAGATAAGTAAAATTTATTTATATAAAGTGTCTTTGGCAATAAAATATAGAATTGTCTCCAACATCATTTAAAATGAATATAAATTAAGTTTTTAGGGCAGGACAAAATAGATATATCCCTAAAAATAACTGAGTATTTGATTGTTAACCTTAGCCCAATACTTCTCAAAGTGTGGTCCCTACACCAGCAGTGTCATCATCTTCTAGGAGATTGCTGGAAATGAAAATTAAATTTCATAAGCTCATTCTAGACATACAGATCAAAAGTCTTGAAATAGGAACTGGTTTACCAACCCCTCCAGGGAATTCTATGCACACTTCTGTGAGAAGCATTGCTATGTACATTCTCAGACTTCTCATTATTACTAAATATTACTAAATAAATACTAATTAGTACTATACTATTATTATTAATCATGGACTTGAAACTGTCTGATGAATGTTGCATTGTTCAGCATAGTATCCTTAAACATTGGCAATTAAATTACCTGAAGTTATTTTTATTATTTTAGACTTATTTTCTCTTATTTTTCCACATCTCCAATTTGGATCCTTTTATTATCCACTCTTCTTCTCCTTTAACTTGGGTAATTTTCAAAATGTGTTTTTAACTCTTCGCTGATTTGCTAGGAAAATGCCTGTTTGTGTTTATTTTTAAGAGACAAAATGTGTAAGCAGGATGATTGCCAACCCAAATCTGATGCCACATAATCTATTCATTTTATTTTTTTGCATTTCATAAATTAATGTTAAATGCATAGAACTGGTAATATTTATGCTACTCAAACTCGAAGAGAGATATCCAGGAAAGCTTCCATTTATACTGGCTTCCAGAAGGAAAAAAGGTCTATCAGTGTTCTAGCAAAGGATGAAGAAATTTAAAACATCAATTCTTATACCTTACAAATAATTTGTATGATGTCTTTTCATCAATATTACATTTAAATGTATTAAGATCAACAAAAATTTGATAACAGATTGTATATTTGTTTTAAATTCATTTTGAAATATATTTGCATTATTTTGATTTACTACTCAAAATGAACACTAGGTGAAATTACTTCTTTTCTTTCTATTCAGACAGTTCTTGTGTGAATCCGCCCACAGTACAAAATGCTTCTATGAGGGAAAGACAGAAGAATAGATATTCATCTGGTGACAGAGTACATTACGAATGTTGGAGACCTTATGAAATGTTTGGGGATGCAGAAGTGATATGTGTAAATGGAAACTGGACAGAACCACCTCAGTGCAAAGGTAGAGTGTTATATTTCCTTTAACATTTTTGGAGAGTACAGCAGGGTTAAAATATGTTGATTTAAATAAAACAAAGTGATTTCTGTGTAATATATTTTTCAAATGCAAATGAAATGATTGATGATGCTTAAAATTCAATTATTCTTGTGAATGGAACACAAGTAACATGGTATATTAATTTCGAAAATATTTGACCAAATTAAAAGAAGAGTTGGAACTTGAAAAATAATGTATCTTAAGCTTTACAACACTCAGTTCCTTCTGAGGAATACATGTAATAAAAAATACATTATGCATTTGACAGACATAAGACATGTCTGTCTACTCTAAGATATAGAATGGATAGTTGAAGAGAGATAGTAGATTGTGATTTAAATGTGGGCATCTTCAGTATACGGATTATATTCAAAAGTATGTGACTACCTGAACTCATCCAGGGAGCTACCGTATTTATAAAAAGAAGTCTGAGCACATAATCCTGGTTCACTCTAATACACAGATATGCAGTAAGGGAAACCAACAAAGGAAATTGTATCTTATCGACCTCCATTTCTTAAAATTAATGTTTGTCTGAATTTTTTCACTATTTTACTTAGAATCTACCTTTGTTTTATATTGAAGTGAGTTTTTGTAGACAGCATATATACATTCTGCCTTTCTGGGTCTGGTTTATTTTTATGTTTATGTTTTGAAATTTTATTTTATTTTTTGATGGAGTCTTGGTCTATGGCCAGGCTAGAGTGCAGTGGCGTGACCTCGGCTCACTGCAATCTCTGTCTCCTGGGTTCAAGTGATTCTCCTGCCTCAGCCTCCCGAGCAGCTGGGATTACGAGTGCACGCCACCATGCCCAGCTAATTTTTGTATTTTTAGTAGACGGGGTTTCACCATGTTGGCCAGGATGGTTTTCATCTCCTGACCTCATGATGCTCCTGCCTCAGCCTCCCAAAGTGCTGGGATTACAGGCTGGAGCCACCTCGCCCGGCTCTTCCTGCCTCTCTTGCCCTTTTAACTGGTGCACTTGGACCATTTATACTTAAAATAATTATTGATATATAGGACTTAAACCTCTGCCATTTATTTGTTTCTGTTTGTTTCCTCTGGTTTCAGTCCTATTTTCCTATTCCTCCATTTCCCTTGGGGAAAATTTTTAATAAGATTACTGAATTCTGATTCATATGTATGGTTTTTGATTGTATCTCTTGGTATAGCTTTTCTCCTCCTTTAAAAAGGTTGTGGCTCTAGGTACTACTATGTGCGTGTAATAATATATCACTGTCTACTGGTGCTGACATCTCCATCTTGTACTGGGATATGAAAATCTTACTTTTATTTAGATCCATGTATCCTCTCCACACAGTAAATATAAATGCCATTAGTATTTTCTGTACATACATCGAGCACCATATTAAACCAAAATTTAACAAACTTAAGGAAAGAAAGCCAGTTATATTGACTCCTCTAAATGACATTCATTATATTGTCCTTTCTGTCTCCTAAAGTCTCAAGCTCTTTCTGCTATCTCTTTATTTTAATTTGAAGAATCCCTTTAGTTATTCTTTAAGCACAGGTCTACTGGAGAAGAATTCTCTTGGTTTCCCGTTCTTTGAGAATGTCTATATTTGCCCCTTTACTCATAACGGATAGTGTCACTGGTTATACAATTTGGAATTGAAAGTTCTTTTAACACTTGAAAGCTGTGTCACATGGTTATAGATGAAAAACGCACTGTCATTAGATTTGTTGATCTCCTAGCGGAAGGGCATAGTTTTTGTCTAGTTGCTATCAAGATATTTTTTTTCTTTTTCTTTAAGTAGTGTTGTTTTAATGTCTATTGGTATAAATCACAATGTGTTTATTCTCTTTGGAGTTCACTCAGCTTCTTAAATATGTAAGTTTATGCCTATGGCCAAAGTGGGAGGTTTTCAGTCATTATTTTATTTATTTATTTTTCCAGCTGATTACCCTTTCCCTTCTCTTTCTGGATCAGCATTATTTATTGTTGCATTTTTCTAAATGTCTCAGTTGAGATTTTTGTTTTCAGTCTGTTTTCAGAGTGGTAATTTATATTGCTCTATATTCAAGTTCATGGATTTGTCATTTCCCAATGTATTATTAAGCCTATCCATTGTTTTAAAAAATTTTTGTCACACTTTTCCATTTCATAATTTCTTCCAGGTTTTTTTTTTTTATTATGCTTTACATTCTGGGGTACATGTGCAGGTCATGCAGGTTTTAAAAACCATCTTCAGTTCTCCAAATCTCTGCCCTCTTTGTGTCACTCCAAAGAATGTTGAATATAAAATAAGAAACTTTCTTTGTCCTAGTTTTCTATGTTTACCATGTATTCATTCGGAAAGACATTTCATATTTCTGGACTACTGGAGGCAGAAATATTTGTTAATGTTTCATGTGTTTCTTCAGTAAGGAAAAAAGAACTTAAATATATTACTTTCAGTTTGTAAGATTAAAATTTCTTCCTGGAATCATTTCTTTCCCCTGAAATCACAACACTGTTGATAGTATATAAAGTGATGTGTTTATATTTGCCTTATTTGAATTTGTATTTTGATTTGCTCTCCCAAGAAATCAAGTCATGATATGATGTTTTTTAGATTCTACAGGAAAATGTGGCCCGCCTCCACCTATTGTCAATGGAGACACTACTTCATTCCCACTGTCAGTATATGCTCCAGATTCATCAGTGGAGTATCAATGCCAGAACTTGTATGAACTTGAGGGTAACAAGCGAATAACATGTAGAAATGGACAATGGTCAGAACCACCAAAATGCCTACGTAAGTCCTTTAATGTAACCATGGAATCCTAGAAAAATTAATGTGACGAGTCTGATAGTTTGCTGTTTGTAACAGAATAATCACAGGTTACTGAACAACTGTTCTGCTGAATGCTTGCCTACCAAATATTTATGTTAGAAAGTCAAGAAATTTTTCTCTTTCTCTTTATATTTTATTTTGAAACATTTAGTTAACAAATAAAAATGATATATTTTCATGTTTGGCAATATGCTCTTTTGATATATTTATAGTACAATGATTACCACAATCAAATTAATTAGCACATTTCTTATCACCTATGATTACCATTGTGTGTAGGTGGGTGTGTGAGTTATATGTGTGTGAGTTTGTGGTGAGGATACTTAAAATCTGCTTTCTTACCAATTTTCAAATAAATAATACAATACTATTAGCTATAAATATCACTAGATCTCTATGTTTGATTCCAAGTTCTTATTCATATCATAGCTGAAAATTTGTACTCTTTGACCAACATCTTAATTAAAGAAAAAGAGCAATGATAAGTTCTAAAATGCAGGGATCCTAAACTGACAATTGACATAATGGACCATTGATAAAAAACCCTAATTCTCATACATAAAATATAGTACCTCATTTTCATGTCATTTACCATTGTAACTTTATTTAAATCAATATGCTGTTTTTACATAGTTGGTTTAGATACTGTTTTGAGAAATAATTTCTGAACCATCATATAACATTCTACTTGAAAATCTGGGAGTCTATGAAGAAGATTTGTATAGTAGTTAATGCTTTATGTTCATTGTTTTCTATTTTCAGATCCATGTGTCATATCACAAGAAACTACGAAAAAATATAACCTAGTATTTAGGTGGACCAGAGAACAAAAACTTTATGTAAGATCAGGTGAACCAGTTCAATTTCAGTGTAAATATGGATATCGTCCTTCACCACGTTCTCAAAATTTTCGAAAAACATGTCAGGATGGGAAACTGGAGTATCCCACTTGTGTATAAAACAATCAGAATTAAAATCCACACCTTTATTCAGAACATTATTATTAAATCAGTGTTCAATTTCATTTTTAAGTATTGTTTTATTCCTTTTTATTCATAAGTAAAATTTTGGGTTGATTTGTGAAAATGTACTTATAATCTGAGACCCATGGCCCTCTTCTTAAAAGCTCCACATTAAAACTTGGCAAATAAACTGTTGTGTCCAGTTCATGAAATTTGTATGACAAGGAATTAGATACGATTTTTTTCAGACTTTGTTTCTGTCCATCACTCTTAAATCTCTCAAAGCTTTCTCCATAACTGCTGAGGCTCACTGTTTTATAGTAAATGGAAAACGTATTGTGTGTGATTTCAAAATTATATCACTTCACGATGATGTAGAAACCACACCAAGTCTTAACTCATGTTAGTAATAAGATACAAGCAATTTACTACTTATTAATACATAAGTGCATCAAAATGATGAAATGGAGTTACTTCTACAAGATATCAAGCTAGCACACCTAATAATGCAAACTAATCATCAAGAGGATTTAAAATGTAATTGGGTATATAACTATTACAACATAGACATATGAAAATTAAAAATACAGTATCAGTTATAAACACACATGCACTCACCTGGAAATGCATAAATACGATAGTTTTGCTCTGAATTAATGTTTATAGCAAAAATATTGCCAGGATTTAAAAATCTAGATAAAATTCTATATACCTGTTTAGAGATAATAGGGGTAGATGTTGTAGTTCAATTCCTTTGTATGTATCAGTATACTCTTGACTTTTCTACCTTTAACATATATCACATTTGAAATTCAAGCAAAATTTATTTTACAATAATGGTATCTAATGACCAAGGTGGTACATGTTGAGAATGACAAAGATGTCATGGGTAATGATCTTAACATCAGATAACTTTTTAACTATTTTTGGAGTGGAAGAGTTTTGGAAATTTCAATAATAAAGTTCTGAAATGCAATATTTATGGTCATTCATTTTAACCAGGATTAGTTAGTTAAAATCATTTTTGACTAGGAAAATTTTACACTACTAAAGGAGGTGAAGTCATTCTGTAAAAACCAAACCAAGTCTTATTTTAGTAATGATATAAGTAATTACTACTTATCAATACATAAATGCACTAAAAATGATGAAATGTAGATATTTCTACAAGATATGAATCTAGCACCCAAAATAATTTGAATTAATTATAAAGAGGATTTATGATTTGCAATCAGTATGAATTTGTCATCAGTTTATTTTTTCTTATCAATAATATGACAAAAATATTATTTAATACCACCTTATTACTTCTCTTTTTATAAAGTCAGGAGACTTATATACTCAGGTTGTCTCCCTGTTAGTGATCCCGATTTAGATAATTTGATTGAATTGAGGAAAGCCAGATTTCACAATTTAAAGGACATTTGTTAATAATTACCAAGTTATGTTTGTGATAATGTTAACATTTAAGAATATACATTTATTCCTAAATTGTTTTAGTGTATTTGGGTCACTATAAAAATTATCATAAACTGGCTAGTTTATGAAAACTAGAAATTATTTCATACAGTTTTAGAGGCTGGGATTTCCAAGATTAAGATGCCAACTGATCTGATGTCTTGTAAGAACTTGCTCCCTGTTATGTAGCTGGTGTCTTCCCACTATGTCCTTACAATCTGGAAGGTACAAGGGAGTTCCATGAGGCTTCTTTGTAAAAAGACAAATCCAATCTGTGAGAGTGGAATCCTCATGACCGAATCACCTAAAAAGTCCTCACTTTCTGATACTATCACCATGGTGATTAGGATGTAACAAGAATTTTGGAGGGACACTACTACTCAGATCATAGCACAGCATAGGGATAAACAAACATATTCCATGTAAATGGAAACCTAAAGAAAGCAGGGTGGCTACACTAACAATTAACTAAAATAGAATTTCAAGTCAAGTCTGTAAAAAGAAACAACCAAGGTCATGATATAGTGATAAAGGAGTCAATTCGCCAAGACATCGTAACTGTTGTCAACATATATGCACTCACCATAGGAGCAATGGAACTTATAAAGCAAACATCAATACATCTAAAGGAAGAAATAGACAACAATACAATAATAGTAGGGGACTTTGATACCCCACAGACAGAACTGAATAGAAAAGCTCTCCAGAAATCAATAAAAACATTGGACTTGAACTAAATGTTAGACCAAATGGATGTAGCAGAAATATATAGAACATTCCATTTGACAACAGTACAATGAGCATTCTTCTCCAGCACACAAGATACATTCTCTAACATACATCATATGTTGGGCCACAAAACAAGACTTAAATTTTTATTTATTATATTATATTTTATTATATATATTTTTTATTATACATTAAGTTCTGGGGTACATGTGCAGATCCTGCAGGATTGTTACATAGGTATACGCATGCCATGGTGGTTTGCTGCATCCATCCCCCCAACATCTACATTAGGTATTTCTCCTAATGTTATCCCTCCCAAATCCTTCCACCTTCTGCTCTCCCTCCCCTAGAGCCACCCCTACAGGCCCCGGTCTGTGATGTTCCCCTGCCTGTGTCCAAGTGTTCTTACTGACCAACATCCTCTTATGAGTGAGAACACGTGGTGTTCAGTTTTCAGTTCTTATGTCAGTTTGCTTAGAATGATGGTTTCCAGCTTCATCCATGTCCTTGCAAATGACATGAGCTCATCCTTTTTCATGGCTGCATACTAGTTCATGGCGTATATGTGCCACATTTTCTTTATTCAGTCTATCATTGATGGGGATTTGGGTTGGTTCCAAGTCTTTGCTATTGTAAACAGTGCTGCAATGAACATACATGTGCATGTGTCTGTATCACAGAACGATTTATAATCCTTTGAGTATACACCCAGTAATGGGATTGCTGGGTCAAATGGTATTTCTAGTTCTAGATCCTTGAGGAATTGCCACACTCTCTTCCACAATGGTTGAATTCATTTACACTCCCGTCAACAGTGTAAAAATATTGCTATTTCTGCACATCCTCTCTAGCATCTGTTGTCTCCAGATTTTTTAATGATCACCATTCTAACTGGGGTGAGGTGGTATCTTATTGTGGTTTTGATTTGCGTTTCTCTAATGGCCAGTGATGATGAGCTTTTTTTCATGTTTGTTGGCTTCATATATGTCTTCTTTTGAAAAGTGTCTGTTCATATCCTTTGCCCACTTTTGGATGGGTTTGTTTGTTTGTTTTCTTGTGTATTTGTTTAAGGTCTTTGTAGGTTCTGATTATTAGCGCTTTGTCAGATGGGTAGTTTGCAAAAATTTTCTCCCATTCTGTTGGTTGCTGGTTCACTATAATGATTGTTTCTTTTGCTGTGCAGAAGCTCTTAAGTTTAATTAGATCCCATTTGTCTATTTTGGCTTTTGTTGCCAATGCTTTTGGTGTTTTAGTCATGAAGTCCTTGCCTGTGCCCTGAATGGTATTGCCTAGGTTTTCTTTTAGGGTTCTTATGGTGTTAGGCCTTGTGTTTAAATCATTAATCCATCTAAAGTTAATTTTTGTATATGGTGAAAGGACGGGGTCCAGTTTCAGCTTTCTGCATATGGCTGGCCACTTTTCCCCAAACCACTTATTAAACAGGGAATTCTTTCCCCATAGCCTGTTTGTGTCAAATTTGTCAAAGATCAGATGGTTGTGGTTGTGTGGCATTACTTCCGAGGACTCTTTTCTATTGCATTGGTCTATATCTCTGTTTGGGTACCATTAGCATGCTGTTTTGATTACTCTAGCCTTGTAGCATAGTTTGAAGTCAGGTATCGTGATGCCTCCAGCTTTGTTTTGTTTTTTCTTAGGATTATCTTGGCTATGCGGGCTCTTTCTTGGTTCTATATGAAGTATAAGGTGGTTTTCTTCAGTTCTGTGAAGAAGGCCAGTGGTAGCCTGATGGTGATAGCATTGAATCTATAAATTACTTTGGGCAGTATGACCGTTTCCAAAATATGGATTCTTCCTAACTATGAGCATGGAATGTTTCTCCATCTGTTTGTGTCCTCTCTTATTTTCTTGAGCAGTGGTTTGTAGTTCTCCTTGAAGAGGTCCTTCATGTCCCTTGTTAGTTGTATTCCTAGGTATTTTATTCTCTTTGTAGCAGTTGTGAATGAGAGTGCATTCATCATTTGGCTCTCTGTTTGTAATTTGTGTATAGGAATGCTTGTGATTTTTGCACATTGATATTTTATCTTGACACTTGGCTGAAGTGGCTTATCATCTTGAGATTCTGGGCTGAGATGATGGGGTCTTCTAAATATACAATCACATCATATGCAAATAGGCCATTTGACTTCCTCTTTACCTAACTGAATACCTTTATTTCTTTTTCTTGCCTGATTGCTCTGGCCAGAACTTCCAATATTATGTTGAATAGGAGTGGTGACAGAGGGCACCCTTGTCTTGTGCCAGATTTCAAGGGAATGCTTCCAGTTTTTGCCCATTCAGTATGATATTGGCTGTGGGTTTGTCATAAATTGCACATACTATTGTGAGACATGATCCATGGATACCTAGTTTATTGAGAGTTTTTAGCAGAAAGTGCTGTTGAAGTTTGTAGAAAGCCTCTCTGCATCTATTGAGACAATCCTGTGGTTTTTGTCTTTCGTTCAGTTTATTTGAAGAATTACATTTATAGATTTGTGTATGTTGAATCTCCTTGCATTCCTGGGATGAGCTGACTTGATGGTGATGGATAAGCTTTTTGATGTGCTGTTGCATTCAGTTTGCCAATATTTTATTGAAGATTTTTGCATCAATATTCATCATGGTTATTTGCCTAAAATTTTCTTGTTTAGTGGTGTCTCTGCCAGGTTTTGGTGTCAGGATGATGTTGGTCTCATAAAATGATTTAGGGAGGATTCCCTCTTTTTATATTGTTTGGAATACTTTCAGAAGGAATGGTACCATCTCCTCTTTGTACCTCTGGTAGAATTCGGCTGTGAACCTTTCTGGTCCTGGACTTTATTTGGTTTGGAGACTATTAATTGCTGCTTTAACTACAGACCTGGTTATTGGTCTATTGAGGGATTGAACTTCTTCCTGCTTCAGTCTTGGGAGGGTGTAAGTGTCCAGGAATTTATGCATTTCTTCTAGATTCACTAGTTTATGTGTATAGATGTGTTTGTAGTAATCTCTGATGGTAGTTTGTAT